TGTGGAATAAAGCACTTACCTGGCTACCTCACATAGCATGCCTTAAAACAAAAAATCAAGCCATTGCAAACAAAATACGTCAGCTGCAGGGCGTCACTTGGGGAAGGAACCCTCACTTCCAAAAATTACTGTATAAAACAGTAATTAAAAAAAATGGTTACTTACGCCGCTACCATCTGGGCATGACCAGTGGGAGGACACAAAGTAAACAGGTACTCTCAGTACAACGGTCATTTGCGCTTACCATAACTAGAGCTTCCGAATAACTTCCACCGATGCACTCAACGTACTAGCCGACCTGCTTAACCTTCACATATGTGGTGTGTACAAGAGGCAGTGCTAGCAAAGTTATTTTATCTTCATCAGGAAATTACCTAGCATGGTTCCACATTCGCACCGACAGAGATTGCTCTACGATGTACTGCATCCCACACCCATCCAGTAGACAGAGTAAAAGGCATCAAAGTCATACTGACACAGCTCAGCGCCTCAGAGTAGACTTCTGTCATCTTTACAGATGGCTCAAAATCTGATGCAGGTGTAGGAAGTGCCCTAGTCCATCTCACCAACTATGTACAGACATATCTCAGGAAAGGGCACCTAGCAGAGCATAACAGCATCTTCCAGGCAGAGGCCTTAGCCTTGGAGCAAGCAGTATGCTATACCATTACGCAGACTCTACGAAATACACAACTAACCTCAGAAAGTCAATCTGCGCTACAAGTGATCCGCAATCCTTCACATTTTTCGAAACCAGTAAAGTCCATACAGACTACTTCCCAGAAACACGCATCTGAACATTACGGTCCATTAGACAAAGGGACATGCAGGATAATGCGGAGAATGAGCTCGCTAATTCTCTAGCCAAAGAAGCGGCTTTTAATATAGGGTTCAATAATTTTATTTATAAATACTTCAAGAGTATTTGTACAACCAAATATATGATATACTCAACCAGCAGTGACAGTGCCAACGAGTACCATCAATGGCAAAATTGCAATAGCAATAAATAAGTAATTAAATATTCTTGTAATAACGTATGTAAGTATTTATGCTAATATGATTTTATGAATTCAAGCTTATATTAATTTAGGTATTCAGTGTAAAATATGATACATAGGTACTTAATGTATCCAAGAACTATTATATATATATATGTCAACAACATTACTCAAGTATTCATATAATTAATATATATAGGTTAGTGTAATCAATTAATCAAGTATTTTTATTGTAATCAGATATTCAGGTAAATTGTTACGGATTTTGTATTTATTTAGCTATTTTTAGTAGAATTGTAATTAAAATTGTTTTATATCCCTGTGCAATGCAGCACGAGAATTATTTGAAGAGAAAGCTACGGCAGAAAAGTTAAAGTACAGGAGCACGCGGCATTTAATAACTAGATCTCGTAATTGCTCTTGCCTTCTAGAAAACTCGAGAAATAAAATTTACCAGAATGTTCTCGTGCATGCTGAAAAGGATTATAAAAGCCGTCGGAAAACATCTCAGTTGTGAGATATTGTGATATTGTATTGTACGAATATCTATGAGGAAATTTCAGCATTCTGTTCAATTTTTTGGGATAAGAATAAATTTTATTAACTTTTTATCAATTTGTGCATTCAATCCATTACGAACCCGTGCGCAAGTAACATGTTTTGGTGTCAGAAGTGGGATTTTTGAATGCTAGTCACAAGAGCGATTGAAGAACAAATGTGGCAGTTGATAACTGCATTTGCTGCATTCCAAGAAAAGATGGAAGGGGCTCAACTCAGTTAAAAAAAAGCGATGAAATGGAGCCAAGCGTTGCGTTAAAGAAGAGATGTAACCGCTTCAAGAGAAGATGGAAGCCGGTCAAGTAGTGATGAAAGCGAGACAAGAATCCGGTAAAGAAGAGATGATTGCGGTTCAAGAAAGATGAAAGCTGGTTAACAAAGATTAAAACAGGGCAAGAAGAGATGAAAAGAGAAATTACCTGCATAATAAAAATAAATTTGAAGCTATGGAAGATAGAATAGACGCGGTTGAAAACAAAGTTGGGCAAATTGAAGAAAAAGTTTCTTCTGTCACAGAACAAAGAGAAGACAGAGTTTCGGCCGTAGAACAACAAATCGATTATAGAATTTCTTCTGCAAAAGATCAAATAGAAGAAAGAGTTCTGCTGTGGAGCAATGAATAGAAGGAAAAGTTTCTGCCGTCCAACAACAAATTGATGACAGGGTTTCTGCTGCCATCGCCAAAGAAGTTGACACCCTAAAGAAGTGCATAGCGACAGTAGGAAACAATTCTGAGTGTTTTACGTTTCTACCCATGCCTACTTGTCTTTGTCTGAAGCTATCCACATATGTCGGGAAGATGTCATGGCAAGTGTATGAGACACAATTTTCTATTGTGGCGGAAGCGAATGGATGGGATTCCGAGATTGAATAGATAAAGATAAGACAATAAAGATAAAGAAAAAAGGAAAATGTTTCGACGCATTCTTTTTACAATAGAAACGTTCATTTTACTTGCTTTGCAAGTGACGCTGTCATTTCCTCTGTTACTTATTTAAAATTTTCACATTGTTCTATGTCTTACAATTAAAAATTACAGTTAATGATATAAAACTGCAATAGTATATTACAGTACAAGTGAAAAAATTGACAGTTTCACTCACGTGTTTATCGGATTTGCGGAATGCTTATGGGGTCTCACAAAACTTTCATAAATATTATGGACTCCTAGGGTCGCGAAAAAAATCTCAGTGATAAAAAGGGGTCGCGACTGAAAAAACTTTAAGAAACCCTATATTTACGTATGGCATCTATTCCGCTTCAACACTGTGTTAGTTTAAATATAAAACAAATTATATTTCTGAGTTTCTGTTACAAGTGAATATTTAATGAAAAATTTATAAATTTGTTTTGTATCTTAATACTTGCAAATATAAACCAAAACTTGGCAAATTTGTAAAATTTTAAAGCTTATTTAATAGAACTTTTTTTTTTTAACCTACCATTAAAAGCAGAGATTTCGAATTAAATTCTCAATCTAAAAAAGATGCGGTATGTTTCAATTTGTATTTTAAATTAAAGCGAAATTTTTATCTTATATTTTGTTTACTTAAAATGTAATTATTAATATTTTAATAAGTTCAAAATTAATAAATTAATGTAAAATTTTGACACGCATTAAATTTAGAGATATATTAATAGGTAAAAAAATTCAACTTAATTATTTATCATTTGATACTCATTTGGCTCTCATGTGTCCAAAATGGCTTATATTCCAAAAAAGCAAGTGCTTAAAAATTGCTGAGAAAAAAATGTAATTGAACATTTTGATTCAGGTTACGTAAGAATCGTTGAAGGAATTTTACGTGCGCCAAAAAATTGCATTCATCAAAATGATAAAACTACAAAGAATGATGAATCAAAATGATGAAATTGCGTATGAGAAACTAGAAAACAAAATATGAGAAAATTACCCAAGTTTTACGTAAAAATTCTAGGGATAGTAGCGACATCTATGTGGTAATATTAAAACTATTCCTGGGGTCTATTTTTTTTTTATTTACCTTGCTCCAGATGTTAAAGAAACGTTAACTCCTGCAAAAAAATAAGGAATGAAAGGAAGCAGCTTAAAATATACTTATTACTTTTGACTTTATTTTATAAAATGAGAGTGCACAGTTAATGTAAGACGAAAAACTACATGAAATTCTAACCTTAGTAGGGAAGTCAAACCTTATTCTCAGTAACCCTTGATGACGAAAAAATAATTTTAAATAATTTAAAGACAATTATCAATGAACACTTTTGCTGATATTATTTATATATCTTTTAGTGTTCCAGAAAACAAGATCAATAGAAGGTAAAAGATCATCGAAAAATTTCTCTATGTTCCTTAATGCTATTCCTGTTTGGATTTGTGGTGCCATCTAGTGGATAATTTTAATAGCATATTTACTTTACGTATCTGTTACTGTGATATTTGTTTATTTGTTACCTATTCGTAAAAAATCATTATTACAATTTTACACAACTACAGATCTTCAAATATTTTAATTCTCTGTGCAAAGAATCTTTAAATGCAACAAATTATTACGCACCGTTCACGATTTATAATTTATAGTAAAATTTGAAATGGAATTTTAAATATTACGTATTATTCCAAGGAGAAAAGAAGATTTTTTTTTGTTTTTGTTGTTTTATTATACTGAAAAGAGTAGGAAATAAAAGCTGATAAATAAATTCGAATTCTTATTTTCTCTCTTTCTTTATTATAATGTTTAGATGCTTTATAAAATCTGATTTATAATTTTCTTTTTCAATATATTTGAAAGAACTTACTTCACATTCTATTGAGTAAAAAGATGAAATTTTCCCAATGAAGTGGCATTATAAGATATATGCCTGCAATTTCATATTTCATAATAATGCAAATTTCAGATTGAATTTGTAGTATTATTCATTTGCATAATTTATTAATAAATAAAACTAAAACTAATTTTTACAATTTTCAACTGATGTATTCTAATCATTTCATTTGAAATCTGATATTCGAAGCTAAACAGTTCTAAAAAATTTCGCAAATGAAGCATAAAAAAATGCATTTCGTGATAAGGAAAATTATCACGCTTTTTCAACGCCTAAAAATCAATACATCATTACACATTATAAAATATAATAATTAATATAATTAAATTTTTAGCGAATAATATAAGTATTTAAATATAAATAAACGTAATAAACTGTAAAAATTTTTTTAATAACAAAAAATTGCTTAAATATTTTTTAAATACTTAGGGTCAAATAGAATAAATATTTAAAATTATCAGGAGGTAACAAGCAGTAATTCCTTAAACTTTATTTAGTACAAATTGTGCAGAAGAGCTTTCAGATATATGAAATTTAAAACATATTTGGGGAATTTAAAGTGGTCAAAAGGTCAAAAATGAATAAAATCTTGTTATGTATAAAACAAATTTTTCTTTGTTCATAATTGATTTTTTCATTTTAAATGGAAATTTATTTTAATACATTTTTATTACATACTGTGGCATGTGTATATTGTTGACATAAAATAATAAGCTTAAAACGAATATTTTGCTGATTTTTTTAAAATCTGGAACCAATTTTCTTTTCTTCCATAGATACAATGCCTTTTTTACATGATTTTTTTAGACATATTCTTCATGAACGTATATATCGCGTTAAAACAAAATTAGGTATATGAACAACTTTTGTAGAATCAACATTGCTGACAGATGCTATTACGGATTACGAAACCAGTTTGAATCAAATTATTTAAGCAGTAAAACTAAAATACAGTTGTACAAGTCCTTAGTAAGACCTATAGTGTTGTATGGAAGTGAATGTCGTACGCAATTTTGATCTGCAGCAAAAATTTAGAGAATCAAGCATTATAAAAGTTATTATAGCTTCTGAATTAAAATGGCTAGGCCATATATACAGATATGGTGATGAAAACCCAGTGAAGAAACTGACATTCTAAAAGCCTGAGGAATACAGAAGGACAGGAAGGCTACCGATGAGATGGCTAGACAATGTAGAAAAGTACACGTTGGTGTCAATAGGTGGAGGACTGTGGCGTTAGATGGGTCAAGATGGCGGAAGCTGACTAAGACAGCCTTGGTCGGAAATTGGCTGTACAGCGTAAGAAGAAGACAACACCTTTCGTGAAAGATTCTTCAATAGTTTATAATATACAGTTTTAACCTTTTTAATAGGTCGAAAACAAAGTTGATGCGAAACATTACAGCATGTTAATGCTTCAAAACAGGCTGAAAAACATGAAACGTAATTATTATGGGAAACCCCCAATGGTGCTTCCTTGATAAACGTTCTAAATATCGTTAAGCACAACTGTTTTTCAAATCACGTGGTTTCTTTCTTCTTCAGCCTTTTCTGATGACGTGATTTTGTTTGCGTAGTAGCTTAGTTACTTTGTACGTTTCTTTGTTTAATATACAACATCAGTTATGGTTGGTCACAATCAGCGCGTATCTTTTGCAGCTTCATGTTCTTGAAACACAACAGTGAAACAAAAGTCCACACATACGATATACGGTATACAGGACTAATTTGTGATGTATCTTGAATCAAGATATTATTTTTTATTAAAATTCTTGAAGTAAGCAAATACCTTTAGATAATAAAATATTAGTTGACGTCACGTTGAATCAAGGTTTTCCTCCTCAGCTATGAGTTGCAGAACTTTCATTTTGAAAGACGTTTTCCTGTCCATTCGGATGCGACGAACTGATGGCAAGATACTCATAACGAAGTGGTAATCTTCGTCTACATCGGCAATGTCTCTGGTGGAATAATCGAAATATCCACTACCAATGTTCTGTCCAGTGTTCCATACGTGTTTCTTACTCTGTCTTTCGTTCAAATAGGAATAATCTTCATTACTCCTCTTAACAGTAGATTGTTCTGGCAGGATAGGCATCTCCATGTGGCTTGGCGTAGAACTCCGTGTCGACACATCCTCGACATAAAAACTGTCTTCAACATTTTCTCCATCCTCTGAAAGGAGAAAAAAGTATTATAGGCAAAGATGTAAAAAAAAAATTATATATATATATATATATATATATATTACTCATCGTTAAGTGTTTTTTAGATCAATAGTAACTATTAAATATTTTTATAAGCAGTCTTGATCTGAAAGTTCTTTTCGAATATTAAATCTAAAAATTTGTTATTTGTCACTTGATTGTTTTTTATAAATTTGAAGATAATGAAATTGATCAAAGGCTCAGAAAGATTATCACAGAGGGCTTACATTTCGAAAATGTAATGTTATGTCAAATTTGAAATTTCAATGAAAAATTTATTTAGGCTTAGCATTATGCTTTTTAGATTATTTTTGCTATGTATTGTGTGCGTAGCAATTTTCGCTGTGCATTGTATGCATATCATGTGCTATTGCTTATTGTATTTTAGTCTAAATCCCATGTTACATAATAGCCCCAAAGTGTGCTAATATGTAAATTGCTTATTGTATTACAGTCTATAGAAAAATTCGGTTAATAAGAAAGAAAAATAAAAGTTTCGTTTGAATTATATTAAAATATACGATATTTTTACATTTGTAGGAAATAAATAAAATTCTTTTAACAAAATAAACTTAAATAAATTTCAATTATAAGGAAATCCAAATCTGTCTGCTAAGCTATATTTAAACGTTTTCATTACCCTTTATAATCTGATGTATTAAAATGTTTATTCAAAAGCTATGAACCATCCCATTTTTTAAATTATAAAACTTAAGAGAAAAGGGATTCCCGACCATGGATTAACCCCCTCCCCAAAAAAAAAGAATAATAATGTGCTTGACATAACTTCTATAGATTATAAGGCGAGAAGTTTGAGGAAAACTCGTTTAATGTATAATTTCAAGCACATATATTCTGGGATATTATCTACGATAACCATTATAATCTGTAACATGATCTGCGACATACTGTAATCTGGAATATGATTTAAGATACAGCATTATGATCTACGAGTTCCTACTAATCACGGAAGACACGTAGACGCAGTGATGTAGCTAAAAACGGCCAAGAGCGCGGTACGCATGGGCGGTACATTTTCGGGAGCAGCATTTAAGCATAAAATGTTATTTTATAGAGTGAGTCACATAGATCGTCGAAACAGGTGAAGAATTACGGGATTCTGAATTTCCATACGTAATTACCTGGAGAAGAAAAGTAGTTTTTACACTAGATAAAATAATCAAAGAACTACGAGACTTCAGTGGCTACATAGTCTTGTTATATCTTCTGTATTCTGTCAAAACGTTTTAAGGAAAAATACGAACATCAACTAATTATTGACAATAGCAAGGAAGAATTCCTCGTTAAAACAGAAATATTTCAGATATTCGTTTGCGTTATTGTTAGGAGAAATGAAGCAGGGACGCTGAAGGATAATCCTTTCGAACTTTTGCATTTTTTCTAAAATACAATCTCCAGAACAAAGTTAAAAATATTGTACTCATGCTACGAATTCTCCTCGCGATTGCTACATGTGTTGCTAGTTGTGAGAAAAGTTTTCTAATTAAAAAAAATCATTTAAGAAATATTTAAGTATGTTTCCCATCTAGGAAATCTTTCTATACTATCTACATAATAGCAACTGCAGAAATGTAGTAGACCTCTAAAATGTAACTGACAATTTTGCGAACAAAAAATAAGCAAATCAGTAACACAATTTCAAAATACTGAAATTTAAGTTTGCTTCAAAAATAATTTATTTCTCCATATGCCGTTTTATATTTTTTAGCTGTCTGCTTGTATATCGAGAGGAGCGACAAATTCAGGTACCGCCCCTGAGGTAAAAACTCAAAGATCGCCCGGGTGACAACAACTCCGCCTACGCCACTGTGTAGATGATTTGCTTTATGAATTAAGAGAGTATTTTTCGAGTCCCTACAAGGGCACTGCTCATTTTTCACGTCTTCCTTATCAAAATAACCTAATGGCTACAACCTATTCAAGAATTTTTTTGAATTTGTTTAAAGTTGCAATGGGGGAGAGACAGATCCAAATGAAAATTTACGAATTCGAAGGATTTAAAATATTCCATTGCGTTTTTATGGTTCATGATCAGAACATCGAATTAACTGTTCGAAAATCACACCTGCCTCTAAGGGCAATTCATTAGCCTTTAATTATTAATTAATTACTTTTTCCTTTATTTCGAATTGGATTATAGATAGTTAATAAGGATTAGTTTATTCCTTCTTAAATAATTTCTCAACTATGCAACTTCAAAAATGATAACTTAAAATATTATAGCGACTTAACATTAAAAGTTTCAAAAAGTCTTTAAAATAAGCTTCATCAAAAATATGACAATTCCTCTCCCCCACACCACCATAAAAAAATTTCAGAAAACTCAGATATATATAGTTTTAAACTTTTTCTAATGAATGTATAATAGAGAGGCAATCAAACGCACTTTAGAAAAAAATATATATGTGAATTTAAGTCATTGTTAAAGGTGTATTTGTAATTGACAAATAAATGTACTAGAATTTTAAATACTTTGGAGACTGTTTTAGAATTTAAATGTACAAGATTCACATCTCGTACATTTAAAGAGAAAGAAAACATGATAATGTTGGAGCATTGGATTTTATCAACAAATAAAGTGAAATTGTTTTAAATGTGTCTTACAGAAATTAGAATTCACTTTTATAAAATTCACATTTATTGCATTAAAAACCGGAACAGCCAAAAGAGGACCAGAAAAATCTCAATGAATTCAAAAAACTCAGGTAAAATTCTAAAACTTTTTAGACACTAAAATTAATTATTCCATTATGTATTAAATTTTTCATCCTAATTTTGAGCCTTACCTAAAATGGTTTGAGGATACATAGAAAAGGAATCCTCTACTACAGATCGAGACACACTATTGTCATCCTTAACCATATATTCTTTAAGAAACATCATGCTTTTGAAGTGCTTCCATTTCGGTATGTATGCGCTCGGATCTCCAGTCTCTTGAGCCATCTTTAAGCTCTTCTTTAGTTCACGACGGAATAAGTCTCGGAGGTTCGTCCATCTCGACTTTGCCAAATCAGCTAAGAAGGAGAAGAGAATTTTTCATATCAACACTAAACTGCATTGTTACACCCACATACAAGAAATACATATATCCGAAGACTGATAAATTGAATACACATTTCAATCAAGTTTTGAATGATGTACAATTCCTGATTATGGGATGCCTTCATAACGATATAACGTCATAAGGATATTGGCACCCATACGCAAGTCAACAATTGTTCGAAAAGACGGAAACCCTCATAAAAGTGACCATACCTTTAACAGATTAGCCTCTATTTTAAAAAAAAATCCATCTTTATTCCGTAGCAACGCTTTCCTTTGCTTTATTAATCAGAGTAGCAAATTAAAACTTTATTTGCACGACAATGCCGACAAGTGCCAACAATTTTATAAAGATTTTTTTGTTTCAAGGAAGATTTGCATAACAGTGGGGGCATCATTATGCGCAGACACCCTTATGAATTTTCTAGCTCTTCGACCAATGGTCGACTTACGTATAGGTGCCGGCAATTTTGAGTACCGTTGTGATGTTCCTTATGATGTCCAAAGTCGATCGACATCGTAAGTTTCCTAAAAACTGCAAATATGGAGCTCAGCTTTTTCACATGCCCTTTCAGAAATCTGCGATGCTCTAAAAATTGACTGTAGATAAAAAGGAAGTGACTGTAAATATTCTGATAGATTGGGGCCTGCTTTGTTTTTGAGGAAGTACTTCTTTTATTCATATTACAATCTTACCAATTCGAATGGAAACGAATTCTGGCTACCACATAAATTGTATTTTAACGTTAACCGTCACACTTTGATGGTTAAGTTAGGTTATTTAAAATTGTAAAGCCACTCAAGAAACGTCTGCCTAAGGACAAGTCATTCATGGAGGGCTTTATAAAGAAAGCTAGCTCGTAACCTGGCTTTATGAGAAAACCATTCAAGCAAGTAGCTTATTCGCTTGGATTCGTATTGCCTGTATTCAGAGGTCTTAACTACTCGGCCACTAGTAGAGCTTTACGCTTCGGAAGTTGTGCATTAAAATGTCGAAGAGGATATTAAATATTTTCAGTTTACAATAAAAAGTCGATCTTATCAGAGATATTGAAGATTGCACTTCTCCTATCATCTACCGTTTTGAAAGGAAAATAAAGCATGTTGAAAAGGCGACAATCGATATGCAAAATTTTGAAGAAATATATCTTTCGCTATGGCAAAGCAGTTGTATTAAAATGGTTTGCATATTATAAGAATCAGAAGAGTGCAATTTCTTGTTACTGGTACGCTGTTATATGAGAAAGTCGATGACACTGAAAAGAAAAATGAAATTAGAAAACTAGTGCAGAATGGTTTGGTGCAAGTATGGAACAGCTTGAAAAATACATATACAGAAACAACACTGTATTTTGAATTTTGCATAACGAAATAAAAGATACATCTGATAATCTGTGGGAAAAACGGAAGAATAAAAATTCATCTAGAAAGCTGGAATTTTTTGTTAACACTTATACTGCAGTCAGGGAGTAAGGAATCATTAAATGTTTGAAATATTCTCATAAAAATTACTTGTGAAAAAGGTATAGAATTAACAAATCTGACTTGGGCATAGAATTAAATAAAGTAACATTGAGTCATTTTTACCGCCTTTAACGAAGATGTGATATACTATGACCAAAAATTGTCTCAAGAGACTTTGTCTTTTTGCAAACCATGCCGGTTCAGTTATCGTGAACAATAGTTTGGAAAATGTGAAAAAGCTTATCGACGAAAATGCCGATATCAAGTTTTTGAACATCGATTAAAATAAGCGGAGAAGTTGCGGACCCACTGGCATAAATGAAGCAAGGCAACAGATAGAGAGCTGATTCTGAAAGAGATGAAAACAAAAATTGATTTAATCTCATGTCCAAGATACGCAAACAGTAGTTACAACGTCAACTGAAAGTGATATATATATATTTTCCTTCACACAAGTCAACGATTTATTGATCATGAAAAGCAAAACGGTACATTCAGGCAATTGGATTTAACCAGTTTTTTAGAATTTATTAAAGTATATCTGTGCATCTATAAACAATTTTATTCTGGCTAACGAATTTATGATATTCGGTAAAACCGAATCGAGCTGCTGCTTACCCGAACCATTGCGGATAACAGCTTTTTTCCGGATAGTCCATGTAAACTATTTTCGGTAGTTAACAGCAGAAGTAAATACATATGCAGTTCCCGCTACCAGACAGTCACGGGGTCAAAGCTTTTTATTCGTTATCGGGAAATGCCCACTAAATGAGAAAGATATTGATCTACTTCGAGTCCGCTAAAATGCAGTGTCCATTAATGGTTTTTCAACTTTAACATCAAAAGTATGCGTTGAAAAATAACGTAAATCGAAATTAGAAAAGCGGGCTAAATTTTTGTTTTCATCATTATTATCACTTTTAAATTACTGAAACATTATTTCAAGAAATAAGCTGAGAAAATATTTGGTGATAATGAATACTTCACCAGTTTTTTCCGCGTTCCGCAGAACAGCGTATAATTTATAAAAGTAACAGCTCATATTTTTGGCGATGCAATTCGAGTAATGGATTCCGTTATCTGGACGCCTACGCTTATATTATTCGTGATATAAAATTATAGATGAATTTTGTAAAGATATTTTTTTAATCTTTACTTATATATATATACTATATAAGATAAAAATATATAAATCAAAATTATAATTTAAACTAACGGGGGTAATCCCTTAATTCTTTCTCTCTATTCTAAAAATTGTAATAACCTGTCTGGATTGCGTCATTTCTAGATCAATCTAGTACAGCCAGCGCAACTCTGACGTTGGTAATTCGAAACCTAAACTCAAAATTTTGAGAAATGAAACCTTTCTGACCTAAATCAAAACATTCCTCTTGGCGATCTTCCATACTGAATAAATACGAACTTTAGCTTGAACTTCGGTGCTGGTTGGACGGTATTTCGCTGTGCTCTCTTCTTATCGCAGAAGTATTAAAAAAAAATGTAAATGTTCTTGAATAGGCACGAAAAGAGTGCCAAGTAAATTGTGGCCACAAATGTCAACTGAAATAAAAAATTTAATTTAATCTTACTCGGCTGTCAAATCTCCTAATCATTACGGATTCAACATTTTAGCAATCGGAATTCTTCCTCTTCAGTATGGATCTACTGCGTTCTGTAAATTCGACGTGCTACGGCCATCAACCATTGTTACGTTTCTACCTCTCAGAGTTCCTACATCAGTACTTCTAAATTTGTTTTTAGCATAAGAACACATAAGGCAAAGTTTAATTTGCAGTACTTCCTTAATTTTCCCATTTAATTTGGGCATTCCCCGATTCACAACGATGTGATGGAGTTAATTCGGAAGTGAAAGTGAAAATCGCAAACCAATTCCCCCCCCCAAAGAGGCCTCCATCTTAGATTGTCTTCAAAATTACATTTTTTAAATGATAGCGATTTAATTCTCCAAAAACAGGCGCTATAGCGCCCAGCTATTTATGTTCACTTAGAAATGTTATCTCAACTTCTCTAAAAAGTAATATTATTAATTCAACCATATCTGCAAGTTCTTCACAACGCATTTCCTATTTTATGGTTTTGCATATGATATATACATACATATATAATGTATACATATACACACGCATACATACTCACTGCATTTTATAATCAAGGTAGTGCAAAACAATGCGATGTATACAAAATGTTTAAGCCTTCGCGTACGTCGCGTTGTTTCTAATTGCAGGTACGTTGCATATCGTAAGGAACGATTCCTTGCAAGAAGAGATACTTCACATTAAGTCACCACGTTTACTTAACCTTTTTATAGCAATGATCAAGGCATAAACAAAAAACTGTGCGTCTGTATGGATAACGAACTGCTTTTCTATTACTGTTTACTGGCTACATATTTACCAAAGATTTTACGTTTATCAATCATGAATTTAATACCATTAAAATATGCACTACACTTCAATACTCTTTTATAACATTTAAGTAAATAAAAGAAATTCTCAAATAAATATATTAACAATGGGCTTAATTTTATATGGCCTATAAAAATATAAAAGCGATCTGGATAATTTGAATTATACTGTATTATCAAAAATATGTTAAATATTTCATTCGAAACTTAGAATGAAGGATTTTGATACTTTTTGCATTTTTAGGTCCATCGCATTCGAAGCATGATTAATTAAGTTACTGCACGCCTATGCAAAATAAGCTTGTACTTCAGTTTACCTCGATCTCAAAAAAGTTAAGTTGGGTGGAGGGAGGATATAAGAACATGTTTACATGTTTTCAACTCAAAGTAGGAATTGCTTCACATGTAGTGTTCTTTCAAAGTAGGAATTGCTTCACGTGAATTAATCTGTAGTTGAAATTTTAAACCTCAAAATCAAACATTTCTGAAAAATATTTCTTTGGGTTTTTAATTTAATTTCTGAAAAATGGTTCTTTGAATTTTTAATTTGCATTCATGCACAAAGTCAGGCATTTATTCATGAAGTCAGGCAATTTATTCATTCCCATTCATAAAATCAGATTTTTTTCCTACTTTCTACAAATCACATATAAAATATAAACTAAATAAGCAAATCAATAATAGTAAATGGCCAGTTGCTCTGAAATATATAAAACAGTAAATATATACATCGACGAATTAACACACAAATATTGGAAGTGGCCTTATACAGCTCCGGAAGCCGAAAAAATTTCTTTTCAATTTTTTTCAGCTTTTTACATGCAAATAATAAACCCTTATATGAAAACCAAATACTTGCACCCACACTTTCACATGTTTTCTGTTTTCAGCGTAAGCGATTGTCTTAAAAAGGCCATCTGCGACGGCGATGTTCATTTGTATTCTCAAACTTACTAATCACTTTCAAGGATGGTCTTCTTAGGAAAATGGCCGTGACAAGGAGGTTCACGCTAATACTTTTTTTTTTTTAAATTGCTGCTTTTCTAACAATTTTGAATACTTTAAATTACGCATGCTTTGCCATTATCAATAAACCAAATACTGTAAATCAATGCATTAAGAAAGAGGCTCCGAATCTAGTCTGCAGCTAAGGCGTTTCAAGTGCAAAATATGAAACTGAATAACCAAACTAATTCCCGATTATTCGGGATAAAAACAAGTCTGTTATCCACGAAAAAAGAAAGAGGAATAACCTATATAATTAACATGAAAATACTGTTAACAGTTTACTTGTATTTTTGAGCAGTATGATTTTGAAAATAAGCTCATCAAATTATATAAATTAAATCAGCATTTAAATGAACCAAGAATTGATTAGCACAAGAACATACTTAAGAACACAAAAAACAATGTTTTTGCTTTATTACTCTTGTATTTCGTTAGCAAAGAATGGGAGACAATTTATTTATTTTTGCGATTTAGAAATTTATTTTAAAGGATGCTTTTCTAATGTTTAGATATGCCAGATCATGTGCTATTAAATTAAATTCTGATCAAAAACAATTCTTAAATTGATATCACTCCTGTCATGGATGCATGTTTTGTATTTTGTATAGAAAATTTGTTTTATTCTGATGGTTTGTTATAGGAATTTTTCCATCGTTCCACAATAAACAAAAACTCAGAAGACATCAGATTTATTCGCAACCTAGTTTATCCGTTCTCGGGTAAAAGGAAGTTGACTGCATTTCTTGCCAAAAAATTACAAATAAACTTCTTAAAAAGTGAAAAAACAAATTATGACCACCAAAGCATGCAATTTTTTTATTGCAGACAACCAAGTATATATTCAAAGATGAAATTAAGTTTTGGTTTAAATAGTTGCCGTCACAAAAATAATCAGTTTTTGGATTTACAACAAAAGCTAGCATTTTCTACCGTTTGCCCCTCGAAGTTCCTCATATGGTACCGTCCGACTGCATGTCCGACACGCGATGTGCGGTAACGTTACAGGTAAGGTAAAGAAGGGATTGAATTTTTAAACTTACGTGTTGAGTTCAGTTTATTGGCGATGTACATCCACGCCTGAAGTTTGACATCTTTACTGGTATAATGCGTATGACTGTGATCCCAGATCTCTGGTTTAGAACGAACGAGAGGAATTAAGTTTTCAGTGCACATCACCTTCGGCATTGTTTATTTTCCAGATCCCGTCGTTTTCAGACTACGACCAGGTACGTCAGACTGAATAAGATTAGGTTATTACTTCAGTTTCATGTTTTGTTTCTAAGATACAGATATCCGAAAGAATTCTTAAATATGTTCTCACAATATGACGATTAATCTTAGTCTGGTCTTGTCTGATTCGTCTGAAAGAAACGTACTAACTTGATCGCGCAATGCAAAACAAAAACTAGATTGTAGAGTAGTATATGCTGCCATCTACCGAGCTAAATGAAAGTGATAAAATAATATTTCAAACTTTTCAAGTTATTTATATAAATAACTTGAAATGTTCCTGATTCTTAATTTTTAACACTCATTATTTCAGACGCTTATGAAATAATACTGCATCTTTTATTTAAGCATGTAGATAATTAAAATTCTTATGTATTTTGTTTTAAGAATATATAGAATTATTTCATACCAACTTAAGCAAGAAACTTTATGCATAGTGAATCCTTTCGTTGCAAACACAATTATTTAAATTACAGGAAATTAAATAACTGGTCAGTGAGTTCAGTTTATATCTATTTATTAATATAAGACATATTATGTAAAAGTTGTATAACTGAATTAGAAAATGCAATTGATTTTTAAAATTTAAATGAATAAATACAATTCTAGGCTCTCTAAAACAACAGTTTCACGATTATTAATAAAAATTCTAAGCTTCATTTATTAAATAAGAATTAATATATGAATTTTGGGGCTGTGAATTTTAATACCTAAGTAAACGAAATGTATTCTGCCCGCATTTCATAAAATTGTGTATATAAATGAAATAAATTTAAGATATTCTTATAGATTAGTAAAATGGAGCACTCCAAAAACACAAGTATCTTTCTATGAAATAAAAAGTGCAACTTTATATAAATACTACGTTGGTAAGTTGAATAAGTTTCCCCTGTCGACTGTGGTCAGAGTTGTGTATGAAAGTCAAAAAATAGAATGAGACATTAAAGATATGACATACCTTTATTTTATTATTCTCGTACGAGTACGTTGAGACATTTCTCATATCGCTTGATAAGTTTCAAAAAGTCCTCCAAGAAAAAATCAGGGCTTTGCATATGGAAGAAGCGTTGAACGGATTGTTTCACTTCAGTATTGCTTCCAAAGCGCCTTCCCCCGAGATTTTTCTTCAAAGCCGGAAACAGATGGAAGTCGCTTGGTGCGAGATCACTTTTTGGAGGTTGGAACCATGAATGCTACGCGCTACTGTAACACCCTGTCGAAATTGAAAGAGGCGATTCGGAAAAAGCGGCCTGGCCTTCTCACATCTGGCGTTCTGCTGTTGGATGACAATGCCAGACCACATTCGGCGACGGCAACGCAAAACCATATTGCAACTCTTGGTTGGGAGCGCCTACACCATCCACCATACAGTCCTGATCTCGCACCAAGCGACTTCCATCTGTTTCCGGCATTGAAGAAAAATCTCGGGGGAAGGCGCTTTGGAAGCAATACTGAAGTGAAACAAGCCGTTCAACGCTTCTTCCATATGCAAAGCCCTGATTTTTTCCTGGAGGGCTTTTTGAAGCTTATCAAGCGATATGACAAATGTCTCAATGTACTTGGTACTTATGTGGAAAAATAAAGGTATGTCATATCTTTAATGTCTCATTCTATGTTTTGACTTTCATACACAACTCTGACCACAGTCGACATGGGAAACTTATTTTTCAACTTACCCTCGTAGCTCTTTCCTGAAAAAATCGCTTCTGTGTGTCAGACCACTGAATTCGGTCTTCTTCTCTATCTTTATTATCAAATAATGAAGAATCTGTATGTATGTGTATTCCTCTCGCCGTAAAAAAAAAAAAAAATGGCAGAATCTTGAAGACCAAATTTTGAGCGCATGTAGTCCTCAACTTGAACATGTGCATCTTGAAGACAGAATTTGAATTTGATTTTAATTTATTAGCCTAAAGGGACAATTTGCCCAGAAGAGCTAATAATTTCGTTTCGCATTTTGCCTCGGGTTACTATAAATGGCGTTTCACTTTTCAAACTGTTGCCACCAATTATTGGAGCTCTGCATGATACTTAAAGAAATTAAATAATAAAGAATCTACATGAACGTATGTATGCTTCTAGCACTGTGAAAAAACAACGGTACCTAGAGACATCAAATTTTGAATAAAGTAATCCTCCATTCGAATATGGGCATCTATAAGTTCTACTTTGGAATCTGGAATTTGTTTTATTACCTATTTCAAATTTTGTGAAACTTTAACGAATTTTTTGTTAACAAACTCAACGATTTCAAAGCGAGCAATGGCAACACTGAACGGGGAGAAAAAACATATTTTGATCTCCAGCGCGAGAGACTGTGTGTCGGACATTCTAAAGATATGCTCTTTTTAAATTATTTTGTAATATTGCTGTTGAATTAAATTTAAAAGAACCAAGAATAATTTATTTATTATTGATTAAAAAACTAAGAGATATAAAAACTAAAGACAATATATCATCTGTATATTATTATTAATTACTAGCTGCACTCCTTAAAATCATTACCTTTAATTCTTTTCTTAATAACCTTTTTAGGCAGCTGGCCACGCAAGTAACTTTTGGTAAAAATAATGACAGTTAAATTTATCTTTAATTTGTCCTCTTTGTGTTTACTTCAGTACTAGTATGTTTTGTGTAAATTAAGTGCAATAAATTTTAGTAGAAATTATTTTAAATGGAAGGAGTTTTTACTTAATAAGTGTTTAAGTCGTTTATTTTTATATATGGTATTTTCTTCGGCGAAGAAAATAAATCTTTGGAAATTCCATGAAAAAAAAATTTGAACGTTTATCAAACTGGAAAATACCCTGGTTTTAAGTCAAGAAATTGATTGATTTTATTTTTCTTTTAACAATATTCGCATGCATTTCACAGTTTATTCTTCTGAGAAAATAAGTATTTTTTACTGCCACCGTCATTGACTTATTGTTTATGATGTCGTCTGTAAAGTTTAGATATTTAACTTCAGTCGGCTTAGAACATAAAAAATGACAAAATCTCAAAGCATCTGCTTCGTGAAAATATAGATAAAGGCCGCTCGAAAAAAGCAACTTAACTTTGTTTCCTTAAATATTAACTTTGACAAATATAGTAAAAACCCTCTTTTCATGACCACCATCCCTACAACGAGCATCTTAAAAGTAGCAATTATTTTTGAAAGTATAAACACTCATCATCCTTGAATATTAACTCTGTTGAAGACTAAAATCATTTGGAACCGGGATGGTTGTCTTAAGTTCTCTGTATTTTCAATTACAAAACTTCGAATTAAAAAGTTCTGATTATAAAAAGAATGTCACTTGTAAAATCTCCATGACACTTTCCCCATATTTCGTTTTTAAGCATGAAATGGTACGAGGAAGAAAATATGATAAATTAAAAAGAACGGCATTGTTTGAGTAAAATTAAAGTAAAAGCAGGTTAAAGGCCTGCAATCTACATATTCTACAGAATTTCAGTATCATTATTAGATCTTAGTTTTGAAGCAAACGATAGTGTACATAAGACGTAGTTCGGAATTATTTCAGATGAAAAATTATATGGTATTAGAAATCTTTTTGAGCTCAAAAGGGCTTTAGCCCAGAAGGTTTATTAGTCTCGGAACGGCATTTTGCGTGAAATAACTAAAAGATTTAAATCACTTGTCAAAATTGTCGCCACTAAAAATTATTGCCGAATATTGTATTTAAAGAAATTAAATAGTAAGTATTTGCATGAATTTGTGTGCGTTTTTCGCATTGTGAAAAATCAGCGGAACCTAAAGCCATTCAGGTTTGACTAACGTAGTCCTCCACAAGAATATGGGCACGTGGAAGCCCGAATTTCGTGGTAACAATTTAAAAAATGAACCGATATTTAAAGTTTTTAACGCAAAATGCCAAAACGAAATTAATAACCCTTCTGAGCTAAAGCCGTTTAGGCTAAAAAAATTATTTTTAATCTGAAAGCTTTCAAATTTTACATTACGCCCAAAGGGTCGATTTTTTAACGTTTTGTGTGCTACCATTATTTATTAAATATCATGCTCTTCCCACTTAAACCCTAAAATACAATTCAACAGCAGTATCGCAAATTAATTTTAAAATGAACATATCTTTAGAATTTCCGATAAACAGTCTCGCGTGCTGGAGATATTTTTTTTGACAATAAATATCTGGTGGCAACAATTTGAAAAATGAAACGGACATTTAAAGTTTTCGACTCAAAATGCCAAAACGAAATTAATAACCCTTCTGGGCTAACGCCCTTTGGGCTAAAGAAAAGGGAAGGGAAAAAATAAGGGGATATTAGCAGGAGTTAGTGTAAGAGCAGAAGAGTAGACTGAGAACTGTTCTAAGCCTATACATATATGCAACTTTTAAATTTTTTGTCATTTTACTATTGCATTGTTTAAGTGGGAAGAAAACGATGTTTAATAAAAAAGCTAAAAAGACAAAAAAAATGTTTTAAACATATTGCATTACTTATATTATTTGTATAAATATTTTATATTACGCCCAGTGGGGGCTTTATTATTATTATTATTATTATTTACGCACATATACGTTTTGGACATAAACGAGCTTTTGGGCTAAAATTATTTAAAAGTAGCATATCTTTAGAATTTCCAATAGATAGTCCAACGCACTGGAGATAATTCCCCCCCCCCGAGCAGTGTTGCCATTGCTTCCTTTGAAATTGTTGAGTTTGTCAATCAAAAATTCCTCAAAGTTTTACAAAATATGAAATAAGCACTAAAACAAATTTCAGATTCCAAATTCGGACTTCCAGGTGCTCATATTCGAGTGGAGGACTATGTGTTTAAAATTTGATGGCTCTAGGTACTGTTGTTTTTTTCTCAAAGCGAGAAACATACTTACATTTATGCAGATTCTACATTATTTAATTTCTTTAAATATAATAAAGGGAGATAATATTTGGTGGAAACAATCTGAAAAGTGATATGATTTAGTGATTCAACGCAAAATGCTATTTCGAGAGTAATATCTCATCTGGACTAACGCCCCTTTGGACTAAAAGGGTTAGCAAAAGTGAGTACAACTGCAGACTGGTAGATTACGACATCTTCTAAGCATATGCACATATGCTGTTACACTGCTTTTAAAAGTTTTGTTATTTTGCCATTCAATTAATTCTACATGTCGTGAGTG